CTTTGGGAGCCTCTCCCTCAGCATGTTCCTTGTTGAGGCGCTCCAATTTGTTCCTTACTTGCTTGGCGTCAAGGAAGAAAGCTTCAGAGCTCCGGCACCAGTTGGGGCCGTGGCCTTTAGAATTGTGGCCATATCCGGAACAAGGTACTCTTTCTTCACAAACTTATCTGCAAACACCAAAAAGGATTAAAAACTCGCAGTAAGAAAATGAAAGCAAGTGAGAGAGCTTCAAACCCCTGCGGGCCATCAATCCAAAATCAATGAAGTATTTACCTCGATCGATGAGGTGGTTGAAGCTCGAAACTTCAAGGATCGTTTATAAAAATCTTCAATTACTTCCCACTCTGCTTCGTGGAGTTTGAAGCATGAACCAAAATCTACAAACAAGGCAATAGTTAGTACAAGAGACAAAGAATAAATTGAAAGAGTGGAAAATGGGGCACTCACGCGCTTCATAGTACTGGGTCGGAATTGTGCAGGCTAGAACAACATCCCCCTTCACCATTTGCCACCTACCTCTAACCTAGAACCAGGTTTCCTTCCAACCCTTGATGGAGGAAGGAAGTCCCAAGACAAAAGGGGCATGAGCCCCCGAGGGAGTGAAATAATACCATCCCTTGGAGTCATCTTTCCCTTTGGAAAACATGCAGGGGCATGTCCTCGCCTAAGGACATGTCTTTCCAAATGAAGTAGGCCCCAACTAGCTGACTCCACCAGTTTTGTAAAATTTGGGTAGGGGATATCATGAAGGTCCTCAGCACCGTCCTAAAGAAAGGGTGCAGAGGCAGACGCACTCCTGCCTTAAGCAGGTATTCACTAATCGCTACGCACCCGGGACTCGGAAAACATACATGTTCGTGTGCATCGAGCACGAACATTTCTATGTAGTGAGGGATGCAATATTTATGCCTAAGTTCGGCTAGTTTGGCGGAGGTTATGGAGGAAGGAATTTTTATAACCTCCCATCTCGCCTCATAATCTATGGGTTCTTCGATCATACTGTTATAGGCTTTTGACCCCCCAGATACTGACTCCCCTCCAAGCCTAACTACCATAACTGCCCTCGACGCCTCGGAATCCATTAAAAAATACAGGGAATGATGAAAAAATTACAGAGTGATGAAAGATTATGAAAATGATACTGCAACAAAATACCTAGACGGAAAACTCTAAAGACAATCGCCGGAGAACAAGAAGATGGCGAATTTTTTTTTGATGGTTAGAGTGTTTGAGAGAATTCAGTTGATTTTTGCCAAAGTAAAACTCAAAAAATGGTAGAGTTTTGGTTTTCATATAAAGAATGAATCAATCATAATCATTGGATCGAGGCCCAACGAATCTGAAACGTCCATTCTATGATGAATCTGAGTCATAGAATTCAAACAGTTTATTTCACCCACGCCTCAGATTCATTCGTGAATATCACGTCCCAGCTTCGGGGCGTCGGTTTGTTTTGGCAGAAACACGCAGCCATCATTAGCATTTAGCCATCATTGCACATTTAATGTGAGGGTCGTACGTGTATTGAAAGTTGTACCGCTTCAGCTGTCCCAACTTGGTGACACACGAAACTATCAAATCATGACATCAATCTCAAGGGCAATCAAAGAGAGTGAGCCTCGGAAGTTCAGCATTCAACTGCCTTAGCTCCGAAAACAAATTAAGCTACCTTCAAAGTAAATGAGACTAAGTGAGCCTCGGAAGTTCAGCATTCCACTGCCTTAGCTCCGAAAACAAATTCAGCTACCTTCAAAGTAAATGAGACTCGGCAGTTCAGCATTCCACTGCCTTAGCTCCAAAAACAAATTCAGCTACCTTCAAAGTAAATGAGCATCGTCACTTCAGCATTCCACTACCTTAGCTCCAAAAACAAATTTAGCTACCTTCATAGTAAATGAGCCTTGGCAATTCAGCACTCCACTACCTTAGCTCAAAAACAAATTCAATTATCAACTCTACACATAATATAAATATCTATGCCTGGACTTGGAGGACTAGCATCACAGATCATAAATTTTAAAGCTTTGTCGTGACAACCATGGAGGGTACTTCGTTGACTACTAAAAGTCCACGCATAATATAAATAATTATACATGGACTTGAGGGACTATTGTTGTGACTTGGTACTAGCATTTGCCGCGTGATCGACCCATTGAAGTTGTGGACCCATGCTTGTCGAACCACCAGCTATAGAAGACGAGGACCAGATGGTAATTTCCGAGGCCCACTATTAATTCCTGGTGGACGTGCCAAGGAGGCCCAGATCCGAGGCCCAATAGGTCCAAGACTCCGCTCTAATTAGTGACGGTCCACGTGCAGAGATCTTGAATTTATTAGAAAGATCTTATTTTAGTGATTGATGTGACGTCTGTAAAAAGTGTATTTGTGTCTTGTCTTGTCAACAGGGTGTAAGAACATTAAATGCTTTGTAAAGCTAGGAAGTCAAAATGAAGGCTAGGATTTGAAGCTTCGGCCGTAGGGATGAGGCCACATGCAATTTCATCTAAAAGTCATCATTCTGTTTGTAATACTATAAATACCCCTATCAAGTAACAGTTGAAGGCTAATGCAACTTATAGTATTTACTCTCTTGGAGTAATTGGTTTTACTCTCTTATATTGCTTTTCGATCTTGTATTTACATTCATAGCGACTAGTTATTTTTTATGCTATCGTGTTTTGGATATCTTTCCGGAATCCGAACGAAAAATTTAGTGTCGTTGAGCTTCTCCCATGTCCAATTGTGGAGTGATCCTGATCGTTGATCAGTCTTTACGTGTTGGATATAGTTTACGCATGCACAAGTGGATTCGATATCTGTTGGCAGCATATTTTGAGGTCAACAGCATACTTGACCATAGTGCAGAATTGTTACCATCCAACTTGATGTTGATCTATTCACTAAAGTAATAACTTGGTATTTGACTTCGAGGTTGAGTAACGCTTGTATCAGTATAGATATGAGGTCTTCAAGGNTTTTTTTTTTTTTTCCCTTTTTTCCTTCTTCTCTAATCTCTTTCACGCACCTTAATAGTTAATTGCAACCACTCTCTCAAGAATAGGGCACAATAATAGAGTGAATTTGTCAAAGCAATCAATTGGGAAGCCTCTGGAACTATGCACGTAACTTTCCAAAAGAGACACGGGAATAAAAATATACTAAATTTTTTTCATCGTCAAAAGATCCTTTAATTACTTTACACAAACAACAAGTCATACATCATGTCAAAAAAAAAAAAACAACAAGTCATACATAGTATTAAATAACACTCAGCCATGTTTGATTCCACTAAAAAAAATATTAAAATTCAATTCAACGTCAACACTTATAATTTCTACCACATATTCCATCAAATTTTTCTCAAAGTTTACTGAAAGTTTAATTTTTATCTAAACTTAAATAGGGGCTTAGCTTAGCCTCAACTTGGACAATTTATAAATTATCAAACTTCATTTTAACTATTAATTTCAATGAATCTATAAATATTATTCATTTATCAATATTCATTTTTATCTATTTATAAATTAAATTATACCTCCGTTTGGGCTTTATTTTTTCAAAATGCATTTTCAACCATGAGTTCTCTTGTAAAATGATGTTACATGTAAATTCAGCTCTTTTTCTTATTCTTTAATCACTCATTTTTAAAAATATAAACATTTAAAAATATATTTTTCTTCACAACCTCAATTTTAGTGAAGTCCAAACAGGGATTACGTATCAAATCTTGTTGAAAGAACACAAAAACAACTTTATCTACGATGCACCACCAGCCCATGTGAGCACACAGCATCCCAACCTCTCCATCACATTGAAAAATCCATTTACAGAGCAGCATACTCCTGTCATTCAATAATTGGACCATCACACACAGCCTAGCCTAAAAGGGTATCTTTTGCCTATTTCGAGCGACACGTGCCTCCATACCAATGGATATTGGCATGACCAAGAATTTATAGGTGAAATTTTGTACCAACCTGACCTGACCCGACACCCTCGTGAATTATCAAGAGTTGAAGAGTTTATTTACCATTGGTCGACAATATATTTATCCTTGACCTTCAAAAACATAGGGAATTGGTCCCCAACTTCTATTTTTCGTTACATAGGGAATATGACCACCTCAAAACTTCAGACGCTAATTCAAGTGAGATGCAAAATCCAACTTCACAGAATTATCAGCATGCAAGAATTTTGCAATAAATTGATTTTTTTAAAAAAAAAAAATTTCAACTCTCATTTTCAAACTCCGTTTGTTTCTCATTTATCCATAAAGATGAAAAATATGACAGTTATCCATCACGTCAAGCCATCGATTTTGAATTTCTATCTTTTGTATGAAATCCAATAACAATTATATTCTTCTTTCTCATTCTACAATAATGAGAATCAAACGGACCCTCAATCATACCTACTCCAAAAAAGATAGTTCTTATATTTTTCGTAACTTTTTTTCTTTATGCTTTTGATTCACATTCTCTTCAAAAAATCAAATTCCACAAAGTCACGTCTCAAAAATCAACCTCACAAAAGGGCTAATGTATCAATTGAATAAAATAAAGTTTAACCACTTGATGTAATGCGAATATAAAATAGTTATTGCTCTATCATACTTTGGAAGGTGTAATTGGTGTGGTCATCATCATTAGGTTAAATACTCTCTTTTCCTTCGACAACACAAAAGCTTCAGACAGTAATAATAGTGAGAGGTTTGAAAATGTTAAAAAGAGAAAGACTCAGAGAAGCACTAGAAAATGGAATAAAGAGAAATTTAAATTTAAAAAAAACACACACACACACACACACTACCATTAGAAATTCTTGTCTCATGCCAAATAAACAGTAAATGCACAGCCAAAATCTAAGAAATTAAACTAAAAAGAAGGGGTCTTCTCTCTATCTCATATAGACAGAATTTTGATACACACAAATTAAAGCAAACAAATAGATTACATCACACAGGGGAATAGTATTGAATAGAACACTGTTCAATTTTGCTTTCAGTTTGTGGGGTTGCTGCGGAATGATCCAATTGCCTTAATAGCTGCAGCTCTCAAGATGTACTGATGATATGCTGCTGCTGCCAATGCTCCCACAAATGGTCCAACCCAGAAAATCCACTGCATGCACCATTCCAAATCTTTTTACTTATAAGTTCAACAAAAGTAAGAAACAAAAAAAAGTAACTCATCCAAACCAACTTACATGGTCATCCCAGATTTTGTCATTGTTGAAGATCACAGCGGCTCCAAAACTCCTAGCAGGGTTTATACCAGTTCCAGTGATGGGGATGGTTGCTAAGTGCACCATGAAAACTGCAAACCCAATTGGAAGAGGAGCCAAAACCTAAAAATAATCCAAAACATAAGTTTACTTTGAAAATAAAAGGCAAAACCCACAAATAAGCTAGGTGTTTTTTTCTACTTACAGGGACGTGAGAGTCACGTGCACTTCTTTTGGGGTCAGTGGCGGAGAAGACGGTGTACACAAGAACAAAGGTACCGATAATTTCAGCACCCAAAGCTGTGCCGGTATTGTACCCAGGAGACACAAAGTTAGCGCCGCCGCCTAGACGGTTGTAGTAGCTCTTCATGAAGGCCTTCACCAGCCCAACTCCACAGATGGCACCCAAACACTGTGCAATCATGTACATAATTGCACGGATCAACGACACCTTCCTCGCCAAGAACAACCCGAAAGTCACAGCCGGGTTTATGTGACCACCTGTAGAACAGCAGAGAAAAAACTCAGGGAAAATTTCATGGAATAAATGGTTTTTATACTTGAATAAGTTGAGGACGTGAATCGTGTACCTGAGATGCCGGCGGTGCAGTAAACGAGGATAAAGATCATGCCACCAAAGGCCCAAGCGATGCCGAGAATGCCAACGCCGTCGCATTGGTCGGCAGCGTTGAGCTTCTTGTGGCCGATGACGGTGGCGACGGTGACGTAAAGGAAGAGCAGGGTGGCGACGAACTCGGCAATTAGGGCTCTGTAAAAGGACCAAAGCATGAGCTCACCCATGTCCAGGAATGGTGCTGGTGGTGGGTCCTCATAGTCCTTTACATCGTGGTGTGCATGTCCTTCTTCAATCACTTCTTTCGCCATTTTCTCTCTTTCTCTCTCTAAAACCAGGAGCTGCAGCTTAATGTTGCAGAGAAAGGTGGGGGATTGTGTTTTTAAGGGTGACGAGTTGGGTGAGGGAGGGGAGGATTTGCGGATAAGACAAGGGCATTTTGGGAATCTAAGAACTATTAAAGAAAACTATTTTTCTTCTGGTCCCTAGTTTATTTCCCAAGTCGAAAGTTAGTTTCTAATGTTTACGAAGAAGCAAGTTGATCCTTAACTTTAAATTATAGCTACAAAATTAATCATCAATGACTAAAACCTTTCCGACGTCAAATCTTTACAATTGACTAACGATTCAACTTTCATCATAACAATTGATCTTCACACGAACGAAAATAACATAACACATTCATGATGAAGTTCTGAAGTGACCGTCACGTCTAATATCTCGTAATTGAATTTTATTTTCAAAACTTTAGTTAGTGCCAATAATTTTAGTTAGATTTATTTTTTTAACTAATGAATTTTAGAAATAGAATCATCATTAGGACTTAATAGTGTAAGTACAGTAAAAGGTTGGTGGGCCAACATGCACTTTTTCAAAGATTAACAACTAGATTACTACTCGAATAATAAAACTAAGGACCACTGGTAGAATATTTCCGAAATGTTCCGGAATTTGGATGAGAGAGAAAAAGTATTGAGAGAAGGTGGAGAGTGGGGCCCAGAAAAACAGCGAAATCATGCGATGGGTAATCATCAGTAGTGTGAAGTTTGCTGTTGTGGGGCCTCATGTTTGTGCATACTCCTCCCCCAACGGTCACACCTCTTTTCCTTTCGTTTCCTTTCCTTTGAATTTGATTTTGCCGAAGTAACCTTTTGTTTTGCGGGTCACGTGATTTGGGAGTTGGTATATTTGAAGGAAAAGGAAATTTACCAACCAATTTGCTTGCAACCTAAAGAAAACTTATATCTTTCTTTTTAATCAAAGTTAAGTAGTAACTTTTATATCTCCAAAATTATTTTGTCCATCCTCACTAAACCCTTGTTTGGTCCAGATTAAAATCAGATTTTAATTCAAGTCAAATCAAATAATCAATTTTAACCACATCTTTTATGGGTCCCACAACTTTTCAACCAAAATTTTCAAAAACTTGTGCATTTGGTCAAACAAAAAAATTGATAAAAATTATAGTTTTCAAAACTATTTAAGTTAATATGTCATGTCAATGACAAGTTTAGTAGGATAATTAGGCAAGAAATTATAAAAAATAAGGTAAAATTTGTTTATTAAAATATGTTTGATTTCATCATTGAATGAAAATTAAAAATATTATAAATTCTAGTAGATATTTTCTTATTTAATTTTAATATATGAAGATACTAGCCAGAACCTACTACATTTCAATGGGCGTGACAGACATTTTATGTTAACAAAAGAAGTGAATAAATCAGAGGGAAGTTAAAACTTATCATTGATTACAAGCCGCTAAATCATTTTCTTGTGGATGATAAGATATGACTAATGTTCTACAAAATTATTATTTTTTAATGTGGTAAGCTTATCTGTGCATTCTTTATTTGGTAGAATCATTGTCAAAGGTGCTCTATCTTGGATCAATTGGCAATTGTCCCTATCCATTTAATGCTCATTATGTAATTAATTAAAAGAATGATTAATTATTGTCTATACACACACCACACCAGTGCAACTTATTTCTTTAGTGGAAAGTTAATTATCATTATATTTTAAAATACGCGCCGTTCAAAAATTTGAAGTGAAATATATCTTCATGCTGATCAGGACGCCATAATTAATATGGTACGGGGTATGTTGTTGGGAACTAAGTATGAACTGTGAGACCAACTTACTGATCGAATAATAGATTAAAAATCAATAATTGAATTTTTGTTTATCCAAGTCTCTCGTTTAGCTCGGGATATAGCTTTGCACCAATTTATCAATTCTTCTTAAACAACAGTAAAAACAAACAATAAATTGTGTAGTAGTATTCATCAAATTGCTAATAGAACATTTCGTACACTTACTGTACTATTGAGAAGTGAAAATAATTTGAGTTCTCCTATAGTTACAGGAATTTGAATTCCTATACCTATACAGGATAGACACATCAGGAAGGGTGGGTGGGTAGAAAAATCAATTTTTTACTCACATTGGGGCCCACTCCCATGTGAGTAAACCCTCATGTGAGTAAAATTCAAAATTTTGTTAGAAATTCTGTAGAAATTTTCGGTACTCATAGCATTTTTCAAATAATTTAGCAATATTAACTGCTGGCACGGATAATAAACATTCTCTGAATTTAACAGCTTTTCAATAATGGGCCTTAATGGGCCCATCATCATTTGGACTAACTAAAAGAATCATGTGGTTTACAGCTGGCATTTTAAGAGAAAAAAAATCCGACAGGCCCACTCATTTTCCTTTTTCTCATCTGTCAAAGTACACGTCCACGTCACCCTCAATTGTTTGTGATGCTAGCCGATATACTGAACATTACAAATAGGAAAATGTTACGTGTACATAATGTTTCACACCTCCCTTGCATGGAGAGAGCCCACACATAATAAAATATTTGTGGGCCCCTTCCATGTGAGGGAGGTGTGAAATATTGTGTACACCACAGGGTGTACACATAGACTAATTCTTACAAATATACAAAAATTTAAAAATTTCCCCGGTATGAAAATCAACAAACAACTTTCAAATATAGATTAGTTAGATTGGTGGCAATTTTTATGGAAAATTATTATTTTGAACAGTGAATTTTTAGAGAAAGTATAATTAAAAAAATAAAAAAATTGAATTTTCGTGTAAAATATTCTAACATGAGATAAGGTGTAATAATCTATTCAGTTGCATCATGTAAATTGCTCAAGTTTTGCTGGAGACCACTTTGATAACGGAAATTAGCCCATATTTGACGACAATCCTTTCTATTCTTTTTTAATCTAATACTCATTTTCATACAAACATTCTCACAATAAGATATTTTTAACGTAAACTCAAATTTTTTTCCTACTTTTTAACCACACATTCTCTAAAAATTTATTACTACCTCAGTCCCATTTACAGGGGCTGACTTTCCTTATTCTCTTGTCCCAATTATATAATCATTTTTTTATTGAAAATGTTTTGTTTTACTCGTTTACTAATATACCCTTATTTAATTTGTCTAGTTGTAATTTACTACTACTAAATGTTCATAATCAAATAAGGGTAAATTATTGTTTTAATAATATTAAATAAAATTTTTTAATTCGTATGAAAAATAAAATCGACTTATATAAATGGGATGGATAGAGTGTTAAAAAACTCATTCTCGAAACGATGACAGTTAAATGGGAACTAACAAAAAATTTACTGGAAGAATCGAGTATCGGACAAAAAGACCGCTTCTCGAGGGTTTGCTTTAACGGCTAGAAATTTCAAGAGAGTTCGGTTTTAAACTGTTTCGCATTTATTATAGAACAGAGAGGGGTTGTGATTGTTTGGATTTCCAACGGTCATATTCTTTTCCCGTTTGTGGCTGTGAGTGAAGCTACACCTCGGCGCACGTTAAATGCCTGACCCTACCTTCCTGAAACGTCTATTAATTAGCCCCTCGCTGTTTTTGAATTTTATTTTATAGAAAAAATCTTTTTGAAGCTACACCTCGGCGCACGTTAAATGCCTGACCCTACCTTCCTGAAAAGTCAATTAATAATATCTTTAAAAATTCAACCAAAGTCACAAATTAATATCAACCACACATTTTATGAGACGAATTAACATGTTGAACGTATTATTATGACATGCTTTATAAATATTGTAAAAATAATATTTGAATATGAGCGACTGTTGATTAATTTAGAATTAATGCTAGGAAATATATATATGTGCGAATGAATTTTAAATCATTTATTTAATTCTCAATGAAGTAAAATTGGATGTTAATTAGTATACATGAACATGAATAATGAATGTATTTTTGAACATGGAATTATAATTAACTTATAATTGAAATTAATAATATTGAAATGCATAAATGAATATGAATATTAATTAATTGAGAATTAATAATAGGAAACTCATACATTAACGAAAATCAACGGGTGAAATGAATATATCGAATGTACATATTAAATAGTTAAATAAATTAAATACATATTGAAAAATGAAAAGTATGGTATCGTTGAAATAATTGAATTATAATAAAATTAAAATCGTTCACAAAATAATTCTCACTTGATGTAATATTTAATATATTATTGATTCGCAACTATTTCTATTTATAATCATTTATAAATTTGTTATTAGGAAGCTCGCCTTAAAAATCAATTTTACCATTCCAAGATAATGTGATAGAATAAGAGTTAGCTAAAATGTCTCACATCTTAAGTGATTTTGATTATATACTCAATTGACTATCTTGCTTCTTAAATTAGCACGAAACTTGTTGAGTGTTGTCATAGTAATCTTGTGTATTTAATACATTAATCATGTTTGGTATACATTATAGTGTACATAAGTTTTATGTTTCATCACGTGTCAAGCTACTATTTGACAGTTTAAAGAAAAAAATCACTGATCAAATCATGCCAACAAAGATGATGTCAAGCATGATGTAGAAATGTGATGTACAAGTGACTTTATCCTTAACACATTGCTATTATTTGGGTCATTCTACACAATATTATGGAATGTTTGTTATGCTGGCTTTTATATTCGTTTTTGATATGCTCAACAATTTTTTGGTTCAATCTTGGACGTTTAAGTTTAGTTATGGATCCGATCTTCGTCTTCTTACTCAACAAGAACCTATTGGGTTTGGCTCTTCTCAAGACTCCCTTGTAGGATCTACGTTCTCTAGTTTTCATTTGTTGGCATCTTCTGCTCGACTTTTTACAATATCATTTACACGATTCATGCATTTTTTAAGTTATATCTCTATACCTAATCGAGTTGAAAAATGACACGACTTGTTATTTCTACTTCGTGTGACATTTGCTTTGCTACATCTATTGATGAGTCGAAGGTGCCATGCTCCTCTAACAATAACTTTAAAAAATATATTATTCTTAATAAATACATAATTAAATTATTCTTGGCTAGCACTATTCAATTTATAGGTACATTTATACAAGTAGATCCACAAGAATCCTCGTATTGTTTTACTCGTGAAATTTTAACTTATTCAATCGCTATCATCTTTACTTCGTTGATGCACATATAATCGAATAGCCCAACAATTATACATATAATTTTAAGAAATAAGAAAATACCAAAGGATGAATAGACATTATCAGCACATGGAATATTCAATTGCATGTGCAAAGAAAGATCGATGAACAAGATGTGCAATTGAAATTTCAATGTCAGCATTATCTTATCCTTGGTTTGCACTGTTCTTGGATTCATCTCTTCAGACAATCTCACCACAAATGAATAGCATTCAAGACAAAAATGCATATAATTCTTTTTCTGTCAAACATATCTCCCGGAAATGATTGAAATTGATATAGCTGTTTCAAGAATATCAGTGAGTATATAAGGAAAAAGAGTTCCGAAAGTTGGTCTATTAATTTTCGCGTACATTGTTGTTCTAAAGTCGTAATAATCTTCCTTTATACGAGTATTAGCAACTCAATACGATTTCAAAATAGCAAATTCGACAAAATATGTGGTTGAAAAGTTGACAAAAGTTATGAAATCACGTTAAATATACAGTTAAAATTAATTGTTGACTTTCCTTTTATTTTATTTATTTATTTATTTAAACTAAACGAAACATAGGCTAAAATATGAAGTAGACTAGCCAATGAGCCATCCCATAATTGTCGGTTACGCTCACTATTTATATTATTTATTTGTTAAAGAAGCACAATCATTCTCTAGTGGATGTGAGAATAATCCACGAGGATGTTCCTTTCCAAGCACGTCGAGTTACACAATAATCAATTCTAGCTAATATTTTAAAAGGTAGTGGGTCCATAATCATTGGTGATTAGAAGATTATAGAGCATTGTTTAATTAAAGGCTAATTGCCATGGTACGTCTAGGGATTTGTGGATAAACTCCGTTCGTTTTAAGTCTCTGTTTGTTTCAAATTAAAATCAGATTTTAATTTAAGTTAAAGTTAAACAATCAATATTAACCATATCTTTCATGGGTCCCACGACTTTTCAACTACACATTTCAAAAACTTCTATCACAATGTACTAAAAATTTAATTTTAATCCATACCAAAAATGTGGATTGGAGTTGTAACGTCTATATTGAGTTCACTAAATTTAATAGAATTTATTTTAATTCGAGGGAGCTAAATTAATTTAATTAATAAATTTGTCTTGAGTAAACTTTTTGTAATCTAATTTGTAAGAAGATTAAAGGTGAAAAACAAATTGAAATCATGAGTCTCAACGCTAACTATCATATTTAATCATTTCATTATTTTTATTTTTCTTGGTTAAGGTTAGTTTTAATCAACATTGCAACCAACTTTTGCTTTATTCGAATCAAGTTAATAATAGTTACTTAATCATTAAATAGAATATCACCGTGAAAACGATAATTTCGACTTTTAAAAATAAAAATGATGATTTTAACATAGGGGTTACGTGACTAGGATGGACACATCTGCAATCGTTCAATTTAACCAGATAACGGTGACGTTTTATTACATCTACACACGAAGGCAAATGGAGTGATTCGATTGCGGTTAAAATAAAGTTAGGTGATATGATCGTGGAGTGGTATGTTTCTTACAGAAGGTGTTATGGTATGGACTAAATGCGTTAATTTAGGAATTTATTTCGATTTTTAGGAAAGATAAATGTAATAGTTAATTACTAAATTTCATGGATATTATGTAACTAGTCCAGTTCTAGAAAAACAGGATAAGTTTAAAATAAATAAATAAATTGACGAGTATAGGATTTTTCAAATCAAAATTTTAAATTCAGGTTTTAGCCTAATTTTCTCTATATATTTGAATCGGGTTTGTCCTCTCCCAAGGATGGAAACACACGGACCCAATCCTCACCCACCCAAAGTTGACCCATGACCAGCTTGACCTAATTTTGAGGACCAAAGAATGAAGACCATAACTTATTTTGGCAAATTACGATTATGTAGATTTTTGAGAAATTACTGTATTGAATAAATTACAATATTGTTATTTTAATTATTGTTTTTTTTTAATTGCAAGCTTGTGTTAATTAGCTAAATCATAAGCCACAATTATATATAATGTAATTCGAATCATGCTACGTGTACAACAATCGGTTGACAACATCCTATTTGACATCATCGTATTCATCCATTTTAAAAAACTGTTTTCTACATCAAATACTAGGATTTTGACAATACATGTTTGTCACCAATAGTTGTCAACTAATGTTGTATACTTAGATTTATTCATGTAATTCTTATTTATTGCAATTATAGACTTTATTAATGTCCATCAAGATGTAATTCTAATAATGCTACGTGTACAACAATTGGTTGACAACATTCTATTTGACATCATCATATTCATCCATTTTAATAAACTGTTTTCTACATCATATACTAGGATTTTGACAATACATGATTATCACCAATAGTTGTCAACTAATGTTGTACACTTAGATTTATTCATGTAATTCTTCATTTTATTGCAATTATAGACTTTATTAATGTCCATCGAGGATCACAACATCACCAACAATTGCATGGATATACTTGAAAGTAACGAGACACACTCAAAACAAGCCCACATGCTATTCACTTACCAAATTCTAGAACTAGAAACAAGAAAGATAATCTGATTCTTTCCATTTCCCACAACTCAACACTCTTCGAGACGAAATAATCCTTGGAGGGATCGACAGCAAAGTTGAGGTTCTAATCCAAGTTATTACTAGCAAAAACAAGGCAATTTTTCACGTTCTACCATCTAATGCTGCAAATTAAGAGGTTCTTGTCGCATCTGAATGCACAAAATCTCAGCCAAGACATAGGATCTCATCTCGCATTCTCGAGTTTGCTTCGTACACTAAAATCATCCTCTCCGTACCATACATCCACTGGTCAGCATCCTCGAAACCCCTCTATAGTCCGCTTGTGTACAAATGATGTTTTTGCCGTATATAATTGAAGAAGAAAGACAACATTATTATCCCATCCCAGCATTCCAAACTCGCCTCTGACAGTCCATCGATTTTCTCCGGAGTCGTCGTCATCAAATGTGTTGCAATAATGGTTTTTCCCCTCTTTTTAGGTTTCCCAACTTCCCATCATCCCCGAGGGATTGAAACAAAAATCACAACAAAGTTTTCACTGCAGTTTATAAATCCAGAACAAAGAAAACAAGCCAAACTGTTCTGATTTGTTCATGACATTCAAATCATATGAACAGCTTTTCGAACACACTAGTCATCACCTATGCTAGGCTTTTGCTATTTTAATCAAGTTTTTTCAAATTCCTAACAGTTGGCATCTACACTTGCCAGTGTGGCTATCCAATTCAATGCCTTGCATCTGGAGCCTTGCAGGTCTGTTAAAAAACCTGATCAAGTCCTCCAACCCATCAACATATTTAATGCCTACAAATATGAGGCCCTCTAAGAATTTTCTCCCACACCACCACTGGAACTGAACATCAAATTCCAGCTCCAAACAGCGGAACACAAAAAGATCCTGACTTTCAACCTAACAATAAACGACCCCATCAGCCACATTCACACAGTTTGCAATCACATATTCTCCACAATCAGACTCCATAATTTGGTTAAACGATAATCAAGGGAAAATAATGAAGGCATAAAAGATGTACCATTAAAATAGAACACCAAGTAACAGTGTCATAGAAGCATAAAGGTTTGAACACTGGGAAACAAATTTCAACAAAAGAGTTAGATCATCTCTTCATAACATGATACCAAGAATTTACTGGATGACACTTAATACAATAATATAGCATAATCTATTAGGTACATAAACTTAATTCGCAGAGGCATATCACTCAAATGCCCAAGCATTTTCCCTGCGAACTTCCTCTTCCTCCTCCGGGGTGAAGTCATTCTTAATATTGAAAGTCTTGCGGATTTCCTCCGGAGTCTTTCCTTTTATCATGTCGGCCACAGTCTGACATGTGAGGTCGAGCAGACTCTTTATGTTCAGATAGTTTGCTGCCTGAAAACATGACGTCACTAGTTAGTGGTAGCTACAGAGAAGCATTAAAAACGCAAGAATGCCAACAGAGAAATATGAATAGATTATCTTGTATGTAAAAACAAACAGATGAAAAAGTGTGAGCAAAATTACAACACGAACATGTTTTCAACCCTTCCAAAAGAGAATTAATTCATGTCTTTCCAGCTTTGATGCAGGAAGATTGCCACTATCTTTAAACCAACCAATCCCCAGTTAGATGAAATTTGTGACAGAACTAAAATAGTTTGGTTCCAGTGAATCTAACCAAAGGCTTTATAAGCTTTCAAATAGAAATAAGAACATATAATCATTAAATGAAGCCCCGCCTTATACCCAAATTTCATCAATTCTCCACACACACATCATGCAGGGAAACAAGCCGTCTGAATTGATCTACAACAGCAAAAAAATAATAATAATAGTAGGACCCTGAAAGGAGGAAAAAACAGGAAATATAACCAATTGTGGATACATATCCACACATAAAACCCTGAACTACTGCTTTATAGAGACAAACTAAACAGCAGAACATAGCTCCATATGATAAAAGCTACTCTATCTGGAATCCATATACAACACCAGCAGGAAAAACATGTAAAAATTGATCGAAAATAGTGCGGCAATGATGTGAAATTAATGCAAGATTATAAAAGAAAGAGACAAGTTTATATCAATAATTGAAAGAACAGACAGCATAAACGATAAAAAATAGAGCATTGATAATCATGTGAAAAATGCATCTAAACTAAAAAGCCCTTAAAACACTTTCGTCCCTCCCTGGTGATCCGACCGTGCCGAGTGGAAGGGCCGTTGCTCAACGGATAAAAGTTATTAACTCGATAAATTTGGATTGAATTCTCATACAAAAGCGAGTAAAGATCGAATAATCATTCTAAATCAACTGAGTATTCAACTTTTTAACCGGGGCTTCGGTCGCCGGCTCCACTGTCATCGGATCGATTGGTTGAAAGGCCTGACAGAGAACGTTGTTTTGGGGGCAATAAACAAGTAATCGAAGAAATAAAGGCAAACAAAACGGACCCATGAATGATTAAAATAAAACGGCAACATGGTGAAATTAATATGCTCATGTAAAATAATAAACATAGAGAAAAACAGGAAAAAAGGGGGGGTAAATCGCAAAAACAAAAAAGCCAGATCGAGGGGCAAGTCAAACAATCTAGAAAGAGGAGAATAGAATAGAGTTGCAACCAAGATAAGATCAAACAGGGTGCCCTGATCAACTTTCACGAAATCAGCATCAAACGCCTTCAGGTCCTCGTCGGTCACCTTGTCAGCGGAAACTCCCATTCCCTCGGCTGACTTTGCCGCCGTCGCATCAACGTGGCGCTTGCAGTATTCAATCACCTTGGCCAGGATCTTGGATGTAACGTTGGGAAGAGGAATACTAGTATCAGCACAGTCGTCTTCAATCATATGCTTTATCGTCTGTGATTCCAGCGCCACCGCTTCCTCGACCTCGAAGGACTCACCGTCGGAACTCTTAAGTACAATCATCTTCGTCGAAGCCACCGCCGATAGATTTCGTAAACCCTAAGAGAGAGAAACTCCAGAATATCGATGAGGATGAATTGAAAATGTAGTTTTGACTTATAGGGGCAAGAATGATATAACGAACGTTCATCTTATTCGATGGGTTTGCTTGAGCCAATTTTTGCGAACAATCAATTTTGTAATATTTCATTTTTTTGGAGAATTTATGATCAAAAATAGAAAATAAATTTAAATTTACGTGTAAAATTATTTAAATTTAAATNTTAAATTTACGTGTAAAATTATTTAAATTTAAATAAACGTCTCGCTTGGAGCCTAAGCTTTTTCTCATAAACAGCTAAATTTTTTTCTTCCTCTCTTTCGTCTTCCTTAGACTCTCTTTATTAATTTTATTTTTTTTTAAAGTCTTTTATTTGACTTAATTCATTAATTTTTTTATTTTTTTAAAAAAACTTGTCATTTGATTTTAATTTCAAATTTTTAAAAGACTTTATTTGTACAAAAGTTAAAAATGATTTTATTCGAGAAAGAGTTAAATAAGATTTAAACTACAGTGCTATCTATATATGTAATTTTGATCTTGAGACTCGTTATTTTTTTTGGAAATTTCGAAATTATTTATAAAGTTCCTATAAATCTATTAACTATGACTTGTCTGGTTGAAATTGAAATTATGAAAAATAGTTTAAGGTTTGTTCTTTTTACTATTTTCAAGTAATTTTTTGTTTTCGATTTTTCAAAATAGTGAACATGCGTTTTCTTTCCTATTTTCGAAAACGCATTTTCGAAAATAAGTTAAAAATTTACAAAGAAGACTCATTTGTCGTTTTGGGTGTTTTCAGTTATAATTAAGCCAAAATTTTCAAAACGCATTTTTAGTGTTTTTAAAACAAATTTTCAAAATGCCAAAAAGAATATTTTTTCAACAATCTCAACATGAACAGTTAAACACAAAATTCAAAATGAATTCAAAACACAAAATACAAAACTGAAACAAAAAGAGAACAACCCCTTAGTTTTTGTATTTTGAAAACTTGAAAATTGTATAATTGACTAATTACAAGAATTATTAAGTAATTATAGAATTTTATAATTTTAGATATTTGATATATATTATTTTAATTAATAAATAACTTTTAAAATGATTAAAAAATTAAAATAATATTACAAATAAGAAAAAAAAAAACTTTTTTTTAACATCTAGGCATTACTTGGGCTCCCTTAAACTCGTAAAACTTGAAACTTTACTTCCATGTCTAACCATTCTTTGCGCTTTTTAGAATTATGCTAATTACCCCCCCACCCCCTCTTCCATGTAATAATTTTTTTTTTTTTTTGAAAGAATAAAAAAATTAAGTTATCTTAATTAAATCTAAAGAAATATTTAGTGCTCAATATTATCAATTTGTGACATATTTAAAAAATAAATAACCAATCAATATATTTAAATTTTAATTACAAATTAATTATATTTTTATATAGATTATTATAAAAAAATTAATAACAAATTGATGTTTTACATAAACAATTAAGGGTTTATCCCCTTGTACCGAGGGGGGGATGACCGAATGGTGTCCCTCCCCCCTCCCCTCACATGGGGCGCGGGCTCCATGTGTTTTTAAAAATGGTGGCTCGTGGTCCCCACCTCCTAATGTGAGTGGGGTGTAAAAGATTAGGTAAAAAATTATGTACATGTAGCATAACCCACGCCTTTATAACAAGCAAAAATGAGAAGCATGCAGATGTACCGAATGGGGGGTACTGAATGGTGTACCCCCCGCACAATGTGTGTGGTTAAAAATGGTGGCTCGTGGTCCCCACCTCCTAATGTGAGTGGGGTGTAAAAGATTAGGTAAAAAATTATGTACATGTAGCATAATCCAACAATTAATAAAAAAAGAATAAAATGTTGCAAGAAGTTTTTTAGTAGAAAATGGATAGAAACAATCGAAATAGTGGAAAAACGAAAAAGAATAAATATAAACTGTAGAAAAAGAAAAAATAATAATTTTTTAATCAAAATTACATTACATTACATTACATTAAATTTCTCTCTTTTCATTTCAACCACACATTCATTAAATAAAATAATATTACACACAAATCAAAAAAAATTCAACCACACATTCTCCCATCAATCACTATTCTAAAAATTTTCAACCCCCAAAAATGCAAAATAATGGAGGCCAAACAGGGGCTAATATTTTATTTTTTGTATTTGCTGCTTAAAAGTTAGCACCAAAGATGCTTTTATAAAAATCTTTAAATGTCGCTGAATTTCTTAATATCACATAATTTATAGAACCATTTAAAAAATTTCTAAAGTGTTTGCATTGAGTTTTGTAATTGTAAATTTTTTAAGTGTGCGTAAAAAGTAGGAAAAAAGTTTTGACGATATAGGCATGCTTTTATTTTCACACAGATTAAAAAAATGAAATTAATATAATTAAAAAGTATTTTTTTTTTTTTTTTACATTTTTCTTAATATACCTCTACATTAAAAAATTCTTTGAATAAGAGTAGTTCATACTTGTAGATAACGATATATATTAGAAAATTAAGAAATCAATTATATTCTCAATAAGAAAAGTGACGTATACTTCTGAATAGACGAGAAAAGAAAACAAGCTTGTCTTTATGGGATTGAGGAAGTATATGTTATTAAATTAACTCATGTTTTGAGAGGTTGTTTTAGATCGGATAGTATATCATGAATAATAAAGAAAGTAATATTATTTTGCCATTCAAAGTAGAGGTAAAAAAGGGAACGCAAATTTTCGCAAAATGACGTCATGTAGCCAATTGAGAAACACTCCACGTACGGTTTTGAACCAGAGCCTTTTCATTAAATGGGGCCTAGGGACCAATATAATGATTGGTTTAGGTAGGATGGTCGGCCTACTACGGTCCACCTATAAGGATTAGTGTGTGAGACCGCGATCATTCTATTTATTAAGTGAAAGTTGTTGCCCGATGGAGTGGGTGAAACTATTTTACTAATATGAAACCTGGAACTTGAACTGCTAAACATTTTTTTACCTAGTCTATCCAATTGCAAGTGTTATTGCATAGCAATTTCAAGGGTGCTATTGAATTTTATTTTTCACTATCAAACTTCTAATTTTTTTTTTTTAGTTAAATCACTTTGTTCTAGTTTATTAGGATTTTATTTTTTTTCTTAAATAAAGGTCCCTCACATCCCGTATATGCTTTTTGGACCATGCTATGTGTACATAGCAATATACATAATGGTGTACATAATGTGAGAGGGGTAGCGGTCATGAAAACAATTAGAACATGGATATTTCTACATGAATAGGGACAGGGGGGCAGTTGGCCGGCTGTCACGAACAGGAATACTTCTACTAAAACATTGACATAAGGATTGATTATTCAATTAATCTACTCAAACTAGGTTTTGAAACGGGGATTGGGACAGCGTGTATGTGGCAGCGTCTGTGTGGTTATTTTTTTTCCTGTTTTTTCTAACTTTTCAATCAGTGCGTGCCACGTATTTCCCTATTTTTTTGTCATGTCACTGACCCTGCTTCTGTAGCATTGTTCTTGATTATCTGTACGTTGAATACTTTAATACATAAGTTCAAATTTGAGATATTGACTCATTTGAAAATTACACAAAAAGTTCAAATTTGAAATATTGACTCGTTTGAAAAGAGTAGGGGAATTGCTCACAGAAATTGTTAACTTCCAATCAAAAATTGCCAAATGTGAACTCTAAGATGCCTGTATGCATTTTCCCTGTACACGGCTTCGTTTGAAAATTAAACAAAAGGAAAATGATTGGAAGAACGATTTTTACCCATTTGGAAATAGTAGAAATATGGTTTAATGAAATGACAAATGACCAACTCTTAGCCAACCCTAAAGTGATATTAGTGGTCCCACGTCGAAGCTATTTCCTCCTGACATGTGAATGCACAAATTTAAGTTGAGTTCACTCGTTAATCCCTGTTTGAGCTGTTATTTGGTAAAAATAAAGTTTTGAATAGTGAATTTTTGGAAAATGTGTAATTCAAAAGTAAGGAAATTTTTTGAATTTAAGGACAAAATATCTTATTGGAACTGTTACACAAGCTGGAAGGGCTGGAAATATAGAGGAAATGTTGGGACATACAAAATGTAAGCCCTACTAAGGTCCAAGTTTCATCTCGAAGTTCGTATTCACCTCGCTAGCATACGAGTCCAATGGCCCGAGGTGCTATCCTTATCCGTGATTTGCACCACTTGCATGTGAGCTAAAGAAAGAATATCTATGCTACTAAAGATTACACCTTTATAATCACCATATATAAACAAGTATACGTTTTAACAATTTTGCCACGTGGAACAAGCTTTTTAGCTTTCCCTTCCAACACCTCTAAACTTCAACAAGTGCACTTTGACTTTAATTTCTCATTCATCAAAGCATGATTTTAATGTGAGTATACAATTTAGATGTTCTTGTGAGGGAGAATACAAATTTACTTTAATCTTCCAAAATTAAGAAATGGGTCCCACTCAAATTACGATAAAACCAATCAATTTCTAACAATTCCCACATGAATGAAAACTGATAGAGACCACATAATATACAAAGACTTAGCAATAAAGTTTAATGGTCGAAACCTGCATAAGATATGTAGACATCATTCTTTGAACTTTTTCTTGTAAAAGTATATTTACTTACTACCTGACAAGTAAAAATGATGTCTTCAAATTGTTCGACCTTTTGTGTAAAAAAATGATGTACCTCACATAGATTGCTTTCTAACACAATTTCTTTTTCATTATTATATTCGTTTGTGGCCATGAACATTTGTCTGATTTTACGAGAGTACAATTCCTTTAGAGGCGATCCCACTTCTCTTCCACATAAGTGATTTCTTAATTAAGAGTAATATATATTACTCTGTTTAGATTCTTGATGCATAAGAATCATTAAAACTCTATTGCTTATCATATCTCTTAAGGATGTCATTGTTTCTAAATGAGAATGGGTATGAGCTAACCCCCACGTCAATCCAATTAATTCTCTACAATTAAGTTGTCTCTTTAAACCTAAATCTTGGGATCTTCAACCAACATGGTTGGTTTCTGTTGTATCAACTCATTCTTTTAATGTCTTAAGTCACAGTCCTCTTGATGACTTTTCAACCAACATTCTATTTAACCATTTGGTCTGCTCATCTACAAAGGTATCATTTGATTTTACATAGTCAACAGAGATAATTCCAATTGAGAGTAATTATTTTATGGCATTATAACTACAACGTATATGTCTAAACTTACTATTATACATACTGCTTTTTGTTATTTCAATCACAGATTGACTATCACAATATATGTCAATTGCATATACAAGTTTTGACTATCTCAGAATATTTTCTAAGAAATGTCGTAGCCACTCAACCTCTTCACTAGATTTTGTCTAGAGCTATAAACTAATATTCAATAGTATCCAGCTCAACTGTTTGTTTAGAGAACTTCGACGATTTGCACCTCTCGATTTGAACACAAATTTACTTGTAGACTTTGAGTCTTTTATATTCAATATTCAATTAAGATCACTATATTTTTCTCTAACAACTGGATATCTAGTATAGTATTGATCATAGCTACGGCCTATGAGTATATCTTATTATTCTATTGCTCATTATTCTTTCTTAATGACCCGATGTGCTAATTCGATATGTGATTTGCACCATCCTTGTATGCATGCACAAGGGAGAGTATCTATGCTGCACAAGATTACACATTCACAAATTTTGCCATATATAAACAAAAATATGGGTGCACTTCCCTTCAAACACTTCCCAACTTATATGGGTGCACTTTGAGTTTCAATTTCTCATTCACCCACGTATCATTTTGAACATGTAAATATACAAATTCGATGTTCTCGTGAAGGAAAACATAAATATACTTTAATCTTCCACAATCATGGAGTGGGTCCCACTTAAAAATATGCTAAAACCAACTTTTTTTCCTTAGATAGGGACTATCTTAGCCGTAAGACTTAAGAATATAAGATACCATTTCGTACTCTTTATTTGTTTTTGTGGAATTCTTTTCTTCAACCGTGGATGTAGCAACTAAACTGCATTAATTTTGCTCGTTCACTAGTTCTCTCCATTCTATTTTGCCTAAACAGAAACCTGAGGCTTCGGCATAACAATGTTCACATGATCCAGAAAATTTACAATGCTAAAGAGAGAACGAGTAGGAAGTCATTTTATATAACACAATACAGAAAACTTACAATGTAAACAACAATTTTGGAGAAGACATGCACTATTATCATTGTCCTTAACAGTCTTGAACCTCACATGTTCTCGAAAATTTGTATGCTGCCTCGACTGGCTGATATGTAACAGTTTTCTTTTTTAGAGCTTTGAAACAGGTAAACCTACACAAAGCAAACGTGTAACAATTAGGACACCTCTTAAGAGATGGATAGAATGGTAAAAAGGACACGTGCATGCACAAAATTATATATTTAGTTACCTAGAGATTTTGAATTCACAATGCTTGGGCACGCAGCAGGGGGTCGAGAGTTCTCGTCCAGGAATGGTTCCACACGGTTTGGATCAGACCAAACAGGATATCCTTTAATTTTTCCCTGTAAGTTGAACGGATAAAAGATTTCGAATGAGATATATGGCAACTTTTAAGCCTCTTGAAGCACTCATTTGCCTCAAAAAAACAAAGAAAAATAGAATTGTGTATCAAATTTTCTTCAATGCTACATACCAGGACATTCAAAGCAGCCAGTGTTGCCATTCCTTCACGAGTCCACTGCACTTACCATGTCAGAGATAATTACTCGCAAAATAGTACGGAGCAGCGTAAAAGGATTCATTTAATTGCCCCAAATTTCTTGAGAATGGTCTAATGGGGAAGAAAACGCAATAGTACCTTGGAAGCAGAAGCTATATGCGGTACCACAATAGCATTCTTCATGTCCGCAAGGCCAGGTTTCATGTAGGGCTCATCCTAAGACAACAATCAAGAAACAAATTATAGAAAATCTTGAATATGATTTATGGAAATATATCTCAAAGGTAAGAAAAAAAATTAGGTAAGTTTGTGACCTCGAAAACATCAAGACCAACTCGAAACATAGGATTTTCTTTCAGATGCTCTACAAGTGCTACTTCATCTACAACAGGACCCCTACTGCAGTTCACCAGTATTGCCTCCTATATATTTGATTTTCAATAATATCAAGTGATAGAAGTCAAATTTTTTAAATCGATAAAATTAAAAAGGAAAATAATTTTCTTGAAGGAAATAGTACCTTCTTCATCATTGCAAGACTTTCTTTGTTGACAAGATGATAAGTTGTTTTATCCAATATTGGATGAAGACTTATCTGCAAAGGTATGGTTAAAAACACCGTTAACCACTCAACTTATAATGTTGCTTAACTCCGGTACTTGAGCATTTTTATGTTCCAAATTAGTCTCTCTGTCAACCTATGTTTGCTATACCTAATGGAAAATACGTGGCATGGAAAATTCATTTATTTATTGTTCAGCTAGGCAAATATGATATTAGGCTTACCACATCAGCCTCTCGAAGCACCTCCTCCATTGACGAGGCCCTCTTCCATGTCACGGGCTGATCGCCATTGGCTTTAAGGAACTGGCCATAAGCTGTAATAGGAAAATAACTATTTATTTGGACATGAGATGTGAAAATTAGTGAACTAGTAGATTCATTAAGACGTGCCTGTGACGAATTTTTCGAGACGAGTGGCTTGGTAAAGATCATAGTAAATTAAGTTCATTTTGAACCCTTCAACCTATTTCAGAAAAACTCGAGTTAGTTTGCATCAGCAGTATCGCTGTTCCAGTAAACCAAGCAAATTGATTAAATCATGGAAGAATACAAAATATTATAGAAACAGGAACTCTCACACTAACTACATAAAACATAATAGCCAAGCAGCCCCCCCAAACAAATTCCTTTATATAACATAAGAAACTAGGATGGCCTGATACAAAGATATTATATAGAAACAGGAGGTAGAAAATAAAAACTAACAATAGAAGATTGTTTGGAACTCTCACACTAAGAAACTAGGATGGCCTAATACAGAGATATGATATACCCCATTACATCACGTACAAAACTAGGTTGATCAACGGTCGAGGGGATAACTGAACATTATAACTAGGCTCCTCACAGTTCAAAATTTACTCCAGAGGAAGAGGAGACACTGGAAAAATACCATCATTCTAGCATAAGCAGATCCAATACGACCAGCCCCAATGACACCAACTGTTTGTCCTTTAAGCAAGTTTCCCACGAACCTAAACAAGAAATCAACTGAATCATTCTGTTGCACTGATCTAGAAACCCCGTTCTCATAGACTTACGAATATATAATAAATGGAATTTGAAGAATGTAAACAATAAACATACAGATGAGGAAGCCATCCATCATATAAGCCAGCTCTCATGAACTCATCAGCTTCAACGATTCTTCTAGCTGCTGATAAAGAAAGTGAAGCTGCTAATTCTGCTGTAGTCTCTGTGAGTACTCCCTATTGATAAGAACGTTGTACTAACTTCAGAAAATTCTAATTTCTATTAGATAAAAGCATTATATGCATCACATAAAATGAGATGCAAATGTTTTCCACCGAAAAATTATGCTTATTGGATTAAACGTAATAACAATGAAATACAAGCTTAAAGCTTAAACATGCTTTAAGCCATATTCCTGATAAATTTGAGGATGACTCGTTCAATTCATGGGTAAACACGTACAAAAGTAGAGGTAAATCTGAGCATGGTTAAGTGAACTCACAGGAGTGTTTCCAACAGCAACACCATACTTATTAGCAGCATTAACATCAACATTGTTGTACCCCACAGCCATGTTACTGAATGCTTTCCCTCCTGCCCTGCTCAATGCCGAGAAAAGTGTCTCCCCCCAGTCTTCAGTCAACTAAAACACACCAAATTTAAATAAACTAAACACTTACACATATAATCCAAAAACCCCAAATCGCAAAACAGAAAACTCTATCAAGTAAAATGCAAAAAAATCATTTTCCCTTCTCCAGAAGAAGTGCGCAGTTTTGGATTGGACAGACCTATTCAATCTTACTACTAATAAAGTTTGATACTGTACCTGCCCAATGACTCCATCACATTTGTTACCAATCAGAGAAATGATATCTTCAACAGACAATATGGTTTTCTTCTGTGTGCAAATCTGAAACATGAAAAGGAACAAAAATTTACATAAAAGTTGAAATGATGAATGAAAATATTTGATCAAGAAAATAATTACTTCAAGACGGCAATCTTGCTCAATCAAGAGATTAATCCATCGAGTTCCGGGCATGGGTTTTGTGCTGACAACCCGGTATTTTCCATTAGGATTGTACACCTCAATTTGCAATGGTTTTGCCATGGAACAGAGCCCAAAGCTTCAAAATAGGGAGTGTGCTTATAGTGTCTTATGCGTCAGTTATTTTTTCCTACTTCGAAAAGTCGAGCCTTATAAAAATTTCATGAAGAAAATTTCCCTCGTGGTCCCTCAACTTTAATTTATTTTTATTATCGTTATTATGTTTTTTTACCATTCCGTCTATTATCCAATCTTACTTTAATTTGGCAGCATACTTGCACATGTTAGCACTAAATAGTAGTTGCCTTGCCCACTTGAAATACTGAGTAGTTTACCTTACATAAGGATGACAAAATTTATTGATTCACCCTCTTTCGCACTGGCTCAAAATAGTGTCTATTTTTCTGCAAGAATATCAATTAAATAACGAGTTGTAATTATTACATAAAATTTTTAGTTACTCTTTTAACCATGTTGACCTTTTAATTAAAATAAAATCTCAATTCTTAATTTAGTATAGTTTCGAACGAACAATTCGATCTATCTATAAGCTCATACGAATATTTAAATTCCAAGATTTATTTTCTCAAAGAAATCACCATCCTGCAACAACAATTTAAAAGTAGACCTTACATCGATTAAATATCGAAACAATAGCAATATAAAAAAACTACGCTACTCCGCTTAACACAGTTTATATTATCAGATGAAATCTCAAATCTTTATACAATAATGTACTTTTAAGAGTTAATTGTTGATTAAACGTCAAATATGCATTGTTCATGCATTTTGTCATCACGTGAAATGGACCGTTAGTTTTTAGTTACGATGACAATAGAATTGTCAACATGAAACAGATGTCGTGTGATTAAAGTCGTAGAAATTGAAGTTGAGTGACCAATATGAAATAAATCTCAAAATTGGGTGACTTCTAGTGGATTTTTTTTCTAAGTAAAATAATTCTTGATCCTCTGTAGCATGACCTCGTAGGTACATTTTATTGTAGTATGATTGAATTTGATCATGTTGATAGGGGAGAAAATGAAGGGCAGAGATCATTGAATCTTGAATGGTGCAGGTAATTTTGATAAGTTGATGAAGCAGTTGATTGCAGCTGGTTAGGATGTATGGACCTCTCGTTTTGTATAAGATAATGGAATTATGTGTTGGTGACACGTAAGAGAGGCTTTATCCCATTTTGCAAAATGACAATTTCTTGTGAGCCACTGCTTGTTGGGGGAGTGATTAGCCAAAGCAAGACGCATATTATAAGAGCATTCTTGAATTCCTTGTACGATAGAAAGCATGTGGTGTAGGAGTGGCAAAATGGGTTTGACTGAGTGACCCGACCCATTAAAAAAAAAAAATAAAAGAAACAATACATAAATAAGGTATTTAAGTATCATAATTTCAAAATTAAGGATAGAGATTTTAAATTTCAAAAAATAGGATTTTATTAAAATTTATTTATGATTTGATAAATGAAATATATTAAGGTCACAGATCTATACAATTTGATCACAAATTAATCATTTAATTAGTCACATTATTTTTCAGTCACAAATCAGAATTTTTATGTTACAAATTATTTACGACACAATTCAAAAAATTTATAAATCACAGTTTGTTCATCGATCACAAATTAAAAATTTAAAAGTCAAAATTCATTTATCGATCACAAATCACATATTATTTATTGGTCACAAAATATCCAATTTATTAATCACAATATCAATTTATCTGTCACAAATCACAAGTGTTAAAGTCATAATTCAATTTTTAGGTCACATATTATTTATTGGTCACAAAATATACAATTTATTGGTCACAATCTCAAATAATTGGTCACAAACACCTCCCCCCATGTGCATCCCACATACAACCAA